GTGGTTCAAATAGCCTCGGCTATCACCTCATTATGTCCGGTCGTGATGGTCAAGTGGATTAAGGCGTCTTGTACATACCAGTTGCGTTGCTTCTGGGAGTATGGGTTCGAGTCACTTCTGGGGTGTGAGTTTTCAGTTGCATATTGTCCTGGGGACCATTCAGGCTTGTTCGCATTTGTGTTCCTCACGTGTGCCCCAAAGAATGAGGTGATTTGGTAAAATACTATGCCCAAGATAACTATCCGAGTGCCGGCGGTGGGGTGGTTCAAATAGCCTCGGCTATCACCTCATTATGTCCGGTCGTGATGGTCAAGTGGATTAAGGCGTCTTGTACATACCAGTTGCGTTGCTTCTGGGAGTATGGGTTCGAGTCACATCTGGGGTGTGAGTTTTCAGTTGCATATTGTCCTGGGGACCATTCAGGCTTGTTCGCATATATATATATATATATATATATATATATATATATATATATATATATATATATATATATATATATATATATATATATATATATATATATATATATATGTATATATATATCGTACCTAGTAGCCAGAACGCACTTCTCGACCTACTATGCAAGGCCTAATGTCGTTCATGAACGAACTGGCCGGTTTCAAGTTCATGTCGACATGAACTTGAAACCGGCCATATACTGCAGGTGTGTTGACGACATTTTTACACAGGTACCTGATGTCAGACATCTGCAGGAGCTGAAGGAGGCATTTAAGCGGAATTCTGTGTTGCGTTTCACTTACGAGATGGAGAAGGATGGGAAGCTGCTTTTTCTAGATGTAACAGTCATGGAAAGGAGCGGAGGTTTCCACACTGCAGTCTACACTAAGGAAATAAACATAGGAATGTGCCTCAATGCCAACAGTGACTGCCCAGACAGGTACAAGAGGAGTGTTGTTAACGCTTACGTCGACCGTGCTCTCAGCCACAACTCAGGACGGAAGCAAGCCGATGAAGAACTCTGTAGGGTAAGGCAGGTCCTAGTCAACAACGGCTTCTCCAATGGTTTCGTTGAAGACGTCATAAGATGGAAGGTGAAACGCCATGCAACCTCGTAAGGAACAACTAACACAACACCTGTACCCCCTATTAGACTAGTTTACAAGAACTTCTTTTCCACAGCTCATAAAACGGAGGAAAGGGTCCTGAAAGATATTATTAATAGGAACGTTATCCCTACAGACAAAAATCAGAAGATATAATTGACGATTTACTATAAAACCAAGAACGCGGCCAACCTACTCATGAGAAACTCTCCAGACAAAAAGCAGAACGCTTTAAAAGAGACCAATGTCGTCTATGCCTTCAAATGCCCACTTAGGGACTGTAAGCCTCAAAGAACTCAGTATATAGGCAAGACAACAACATCTCTTTCTAGGCGATTAACGATGCATAAGCAACAGGGTTCCATTAAGGAACATATAATCTCTTCCCACAACCAGACCATCACCAGAGAAGTCTTAACAAAAAATACAGAAATCATCGATAGATACAGCGATAGCTGGCGGCTTGATATCTGCAAGGCACTACACATCAAGAAGTCAACACCAGCAATCAACAGCCAATTAATGCACAACTATATTCTACCCACTTCAAGACTCCGCACCAATATAGAAGCAACAAGAAATATGGGCCAATAGGCCCTTTGCAGTTACTTCCATTCTTCCCTTTAATTTTCCCAATATTATACCCATTGTTTTCTAACAGTGCAAGTATTTTGCACTCTTTCATGTATAATTGTGAGTTGTAATTGTGTGTGTGTGTGTGCGTGTATGCGTGTGTGCGTTAGTCGCGAGGGAGGTGGTAGTGGAAGAGTGAGCCAGCCAAGCTTGTGCTGACGGGAGTATTATTGAACAAAGAAGCACTGTTCTGGCTTGAGAGAGTACCCACCCTGGCTCGGCCAGAGAGGTGGTTGAGTAGTGAGAGTGGAACCTTTGCAAGGGAGAGTACATCCAACCAGCTCCTCCATCCGGGCGGGTGATTAGCCATCATCCACCCCTGGGTGAACTTGTTAGTGAGGTAAGAGTGTCAGTAATGCATTGTCTTGGTTGGGTGTCTTAGTGTTGACGAGCCAGTGGAGTCTGAACCATTTAACCATGTATGGTGTGGGCGTGTATGGAGTGGGTGATCCCCCACCCCTTTTACTTAGGTCAATGTTGTATTAAATAACAGGATGTCAAAGTGTTAAATATCAATTGCTGGAAATTGAAATAATTTGTTAATAAATTTCTATGGGTAGAAGAACAAGCTTGACTTTTGTTTAGTCCTCTTTTTGAATCAATGTCCCCTCAAGTAAGAGTTAAGGCTAGAGATATCTATTGAACATGTGAAAGATAACTAAATTAAGCAGTGCTCCTGTCGCATTGTTTAAGTGGAAGTAAATTTAGATTCAATGACAGGTGGTGGCAGCAAACATCAGAACATCTTGGAATATCAGTATAGTATAACATCATAGTATAGATAGAATAAACAGTCAGTCTACTCTCCCTACCCTTTCTTACCCTTTCTACTTTTCTCTCTCTCTATTACTATTCCTCCTTCCTTACTCTTCCTCCTTCCTTACTCTTCCTCCTTCATTCTCTCCCTCCTGCCTCCCCTTTCCCCGTTCGCTCCCCGTTTTCTATTCCCGCTCGCCTCTTCCCAACCTCAGTTCCTGCCTCAACCTCCCATCCTTCATCCCTCTTTCCTCCTCTCCTTCCTTCCTTCCTTCTACCTTTACTTTGATTACTTGACTTTTACTAATTTCATCCGATCCCCTCCCCCCTGTTATACTTTCGTGTTCTGTCTTGTGTTGAAATTCTTTCAGGGTCCTGAAAGATATTGTTAATAGAAACGTTATCCCGTTATCATTTGCATCAATAAGTAAGTGTTAGGCAGTGTACTAATATGATTTGTTTAGTGCACGTGCCGTGTGTGTGTTATTGCAAAGGGGTTGTCATTGATGGTGATTGTTGCTAGTGTTGATCAATCACCGCGAACTTGGGTTTTGGACTTGGGAACACGAGTACTTGGGTTTTATATTCTCCTGTTATCTGGTAGGACATCGATGTCCTGTATTCAGTGACGTGATTGTGAAGCAATTAATATAATGTAACCAATGGAACACCCATTGCTTTAAGAGAGTTTGTTCTTTAACAATTTGAGTAACGGGGAGCCAGTCGGCCTAGCGGACAGCACACTGGACTTGTGATCCTGGGTTCGATCCCAGGCGCCAGCGAGAAACAATGGGCAGAGTTTCTTTCACCCTATGCCCCTGTTACCTAGCAGTAAAATAGGTACCTGGGTGTTAGTCAGCTGTCACGGGCTGCTTCCTGGGAGTGGAGGCCTGGTCGAGGACCGGGATGTGGGGACACTAAAAAGCCCCGAAATCATCTCAAGATAATGTAGAATACGTTCGGGTTAATAAATTTTCCTGCAAGCAGCTGCGATAGTCTCAGGGTAGTTTAGCGGTCAGCCAGACAAGAATTATAGCATTGTCTGTCGTAATTAACGGTCAGTGGGGAGCGTAATTGATGTGTTTCAGGAAGTCGAAGTAATTAACTGCGATCCATGTTTAATCGACTCGCACGAAGGCTCCATTGTTCCATTACCGTAACGTCGTTATTTATCTGTCCGGAAGTACCGGCACTTGATTGACTCGTGGGAAGAGTAACGTCATTTTAGAATAACGTAAACGTGGTGATTAGCGTCCTTAATCACCTGAATTGGTCTGAGTATGGAAGTCTCAGCCGGAATTTATACCTTGATGTGAATTGCTAAGCCAGTGTGAAAGGTTGTGTATTTAATTTATTAATTATTGATCTTGAGGACAGTAATTAATTGCTCTATGGGTAATCACGAGTGATTACCGTTTTCTTAGCACTTTGGACATTGAAAAATCAGAGTTAACTATCGTTGAGTGATAGTAACCAATAACGTAAATTAACGTAACTAGTAAAGAGATTAATCAGCTGTCTGGAAGTACAGGGATTAATGGGATTTACTCACTGAATGCTGGACGGGTAGCGTGTTGTGTAATTTCCGCGTCACTAGCGACAGTTGTGAGATTGATTAAGTTAACGTAAATATTACTTTGTTATTAACGTAAATCAAATTGTTATTGATTGTTGATCGTCTGTGGGACAGAGTGTTAACGTAAAGATTAATTGTGGAAGGCTTGCTGGAGTTGCCAGTGGAACCATTTGTCATTGATGTGTCATTAACAGGCTACTGATTTGACTGCATTGCAACCGCTATTGCAGGTGTAGGTTGCAAGGAGCGTAGGGAAAAGTTAGGAGGTTACTGGAGACATCTCAGAACCTACTGTGTCATAGTTGCAGGTGTGATTATAGATCTGTTATTGCTTGCTTGTTTGATTCCTCTGTGGTCACACCTTATGTTCGAGTTAGTTCATTATGCAGTCCGAGGGGCTGGTGTCTAGCTGTCATTGATAATGTCACAGGAAGGATTTCGAGTAACGTCATTGATATTTCTTTTGTTCTTGTTGTAGTAGTTAGTACTTTATTGAATAAACTAAGTTGTTATGTAGAACACTCTTTTCGTTACACCCCACACATTTATATTGCCCTGCAAGTGTACTATCACACTCGACTATTAAATTGAGACTGATTCATGGGTTTTGGACTAAATATACGGCACCACACAACAATAAATTATTGTTGTGAGAGCCTAGGACCTACTCGCTGGATTCAATGGCGAAGGTCAACGACCAAGTGGAGGGGATTTCAACTTTTTGGGGTCTCGGCGTTTGCTCGCGCCTAGTCAATTGTTCATAAATGGTCCCAGAATGAGGAATGAGCTGCTTACTACACTGGTGTGTTAGCTAAGCAAGTCCTTCCTCAAGCGACCTAATTGAATATCACGACAGGAATATTCCAGCGTTAAAGGAATTAAAGAATTTTTTTAGAAATTTTCCGAGCTCAATTCCTTACCATTCCATCATTCCATTTTTCCAAACTCTCACACTCCTCTACAATAGTTACCTCACCCTTCCTCATGAACTTCAGTCCCTTGGCTGCGTCAGTGGGGGCGGACACGAAGGTCTCATTGTTGACAGCCGGGTTGTTGCTCATCTCAGGAAAGGAGCAGTGTTGAGTGATCCACGCCACCTGCTCCTCGTCTACCACCTGCCCCAGGAACCCCGCCACTTGCCTCACAATAGCGCTCATATCCTGCCGTCAACACACACACATATTCACTAATATATCCTGCCTTTAACACACACATAGTAACATATCCTGCCGTCAACACATGTCGGAAATTTCCGACCCCTAAAACTACTAACACCTGATACAACTAGTTGAAATCGTTGTATTAGAGAATTATCACTACTAACCTTATTAATCTCCTATTAGGAAAGATCTAGAAATCCCTCAGAAAATGTATAGGATGATTGCGTCAGCCAGTATCGAAGTGGCGCTATTATTAATCTTCTTATATTATTAATATTTCCGGTCTGCTATTTTCTTTCAATTAGAAAACCTTGTTTTAAACTGGAATTAACTAAGATTTAGAAAGAATTAATGTAATCTTCCACCCGAGGTAACTTACCGCAGCTGTGAATGCTATCTCACTACCGGAGGAATAGTCATGCCACGAGTCTAGCACTTATCAAATGTGCTTTACACCCCACAAACTTCTAGTCCAGCGTTAGGAACAATAATAACTGTTTTTTGAATTAAGAATCAATTAGTCAAAGCATAAAATAACGCCTAAGTGTTCTAGTTAATGAACGAGTTAAAGTTAGTAGCGTGACTATTATTGTGACACACACCTCGATAGGAGGAGGAAGACGCACTTGTGCAAACGATCTGAGTGGATCAAGTCTCGATCGCTATGTCATCCGTGGTTCTACAACGTTCCAACGCTACTGCAACCTTCAGACTACAAAGCACACGGTATCCGGTCGGTTATATATACTGAAGTATTTGTGTATGCTTTACTAAGTGTTTACTTATGTTTACTTTACAAAGGATAGCTTTGGGGATATTTGCTTTACGGTGCTTACCTTGTAAACTTTCCGCAGAAGGAGGTGATCAGCTGAGAACTTGGGGGTACCTTCTATTGCAACACGTGACTCGAGGCCGGCTAGGAAACGCTTGCCTTCCCTGAGCCTTCTGACATTCTCCGTAAAATTAACGTTGAATCCTCCTAATCAATAAAGCTTACACTAGTTTCAGTAGTTAGTGACTAACCCTATAATGTTTCTTATTGAAGTATAACTATTGAAATATATCTAATGATTATAATTGCTATTGAATGACTCCCCTTCCCCGGATATGTGTTCAGGTAACACCCTACAGAAGTTAAAGTTAACTAATACAGTCCAATTATTTTAATACAGTCCAGTTAATATAATCAGCTAAATTAATCAATTTACCTGCTGAAAAATTCCCCACAACACACACATACTCATTAACATATGCTGTCGTCAACACACATATATCCACTAACATATCCTGCCGTCAGCACACACATATTAACATATCCTGCCGTCAACACACACATATTAACATATCCTGCCATCAACACACACATACTAACATATCCTGCCGTCAACACACCCATACTAACATATCCTGCAGTCAACACACACATACTAACATATCATGCCGTCAACACACACATATTAACATATCCTGCCGTCAACACACACATACTAACATATCCTGCCGTCAACACACACATACTAACATATCCTGCCGTCAACACACACATACTAGCATATCCTGCCGTCAACACACACATACTAGTAGGGAAATATGTGACTAGACCCGCGCGCACCACCTGCCAGATGGCACTCACGTGAGTGGCACCTGGACAGATGGCGCGCAGGTGTCTAGTCACAAAGGGTTTGGGGGGAATTTCCCGGATGTTATGACGCGTGTCGGAGGAATGTGGTGCGCGCGGTTCTAGTCCTCGGGGTTTTGGGGTGTTCGGGTCAGGAAAGAGGGAAGCCATGTTGTTGGGGATGTGTGAGACTATGTGGTATAGTAAGAAATACAGGGAAAAGCATTAAATATGTATGTGTGTTTGTCATAGACTTAATCCTGTGTGACGATAATAGTTTGATGATAGTAAGTAAGTAGAGGTTGAGGGGATCCAACATAGTGGATATGTTGTTTGGGGTGGAGGGGAAGGGGAGGGGGGAGGGAGAGGAGAACCCCCATACCTGAGAGGAAAGCCTTTACGTCCATTAGCTTCCCCCCTATAGGAAGCCGTAAGTGTTGAGGGGTAAGAGAGAGAGCAGCAGCCTCCTGCAGAAGTGAGCCATTTGCTTTAAAGGCATTTCGATGTCTTCAGAGTGGAGATGTTCATCCCACCGCGGTTCCCCCTCTACTGCGATTCCGTTAAGGAGGAGCGAGGTACATACTCCTGCCGACAGACAGACCCACACCTGTCAGCCATCAATCACTTCTCATTTGACCCGGGTCGTTTCACTCCCCTCACACACACACACAATCGCGCCGCCAGTTCACTGCGAGTCTTCATCCGCTACACACACTCACCATACAGCTCCATGTCATGGAAAGGCGAAGCTCTACAGCCTGCATGAAATGCGGAGTGTTTTATATTCCATCACCAAATCAACTGTGTCGGCTGCAATGCGCAAGCTGTGAAAAACCGCCCCTAGGACATTACGACATTAAATGCAAGCGATGTCAGCAGATTTTCTGTGATAACCGTGAGTGTTATTCATATTTAATATTCCACAGTTCATTTTATGTCATCCACAGGTGAAATATTGCGTATAAACTACTATAGTGTGAGAATATTTACTCATTCGGGCTATTACATTCCACACAGTTAAATATGTTCTTTCCAATTTCAGTTTACAAAACCGTGAAGTGTCCTTATTGCTCACCTGCCCCGCGAGGAGGTCATCGCCGGAATGAAACTTCACATTAACGTAGGTAGCATATAAAAATATACATCTCGTATCTGTATTTCATGCAGTTGCAAGCGAACACACATGCATAATAAACATATTTTCCCCATTCACACGTGCTGAATATCATTTGTTACATTTCAGGTTATAATCCATACCTCAATCGACGGAGGGAACAGATCGGCGTCATCGAGTCTATACCACATTCCTCCCACACTGAGCTAAGGAGAGCAGATCTCACTCGCGGGCAGTCACAGCCCTTTCATCAAGGTCAGCCACGCCGCCAGATGGGGGCTACGAGACAATATCTCCCCCTGTTAACACAATATTACGGATTCATACCCACTCACCTGCTCAACCCCTTCACCATGACATAAGTAAGTTAATACTGTCTTATTTCAGTCTATTTCCTAAACATATTAATTCCCACTAGTCTGTTCCCTCACCTCATAATATATATATATATATATATATATATATATATATATATATATATCGTACCTAGTAGCCAGAATGCACTTCTCGGCCTACTTTGCAAGGCCCGATTTGCCTAATAAGCCAAGTTTTCCTGAATTAATATATTTTCTCTAATTTTTTCTTATGAAATGGTAAAGCTACCCATTTCATTATGTATGAGATCAATTTTTTTTCAATGGAGTTAAAATTAACGTTGATATATGACCGAACCTAACCAACCCTACCTAACCTAACCTAACTTATCTTTATAGGTTAGGTTAGGTTAGGTAGCAGAAAAAGTTAGGTTAGGTTAGGTTAGGTAGGTTAGGTAGTCAAAAAACAATTAATTCATGAAAACTTGGTTTATTAGGCAAATTGGGCCTTGCATAGTAGGCTGAGAAGTGCGTTCTGGCTACTAGGTACGACATATATATATATATAAATATATATATATATATATATATATATATATATATATATATATATATATATATATATATATATATATATATATATATATTTCATTCTTTCTAGAGATATATATGCGTTCATTCTTTCTAGAGATATATATGCTTTCATTCTTTCTAGAGATAATATGTTTTTCTTTTTTTTACAGACGACACACCGCTGTGCATAGATTTGGCATCCAGCAGCGCTGAGAGCAGCGGCTGTGAGAGTGACACAGCAGAGTGGACATTACCCACATCCGGCTCTCACAGGGAGGGGAAGGCTCGTTCACGCGCTCACTCAACCCCCCGTTCCTCCCCCAGCCCCATACCCCAATCAATCAGCGACAGCAGCAGCAGCAACAGCATCAGCAGCAACAACATCAGCAGCAGTGGTGAGAACAGTACTATTAACATCAGCATCACAGACAGTGACTCAGACGACCTTGATGCACCAGCGTCCGTCAATTCTGACTGCTTAGCACCGTCTGGCGTAATAGCTGACCGTGCGGTCTCACCCATTCATGTCGGAGGGGGAGGGCTATCACAACCCCCCACCCCTCCCAGCCCTCTCCCATCACCCCCACCACTTCTCTCTCCATCTCCCCCACCTGCCCTAGAAATTCAACCTCAGCTGCTGGATCGAATTGATAACTTTAACGGCGGTTATGTTCGGCTTTCATTCTCCATACCAGAACATGTTAACACCTCCCCAGGACTCTATCTGAGAACATACAGGGATTTTTTCATTAATGAGGTTCGATCCCTTTTCTCTCCACAACACCCATCCCTCCTAATTTACCCAGACATCACTCTAATTGTGCGGAATTTAAATGTACAACAAGACGGGGAGGAGGACCTATTGGATCCTATAAATAACGACGGCTTTCCCATACGAGGTGAGGGGCGAACGATAACTCTAGAGGAAGTAGAAACTCTTATTGATTTTTGGGCTGACGAATTGACAGGGAAAATATCCCTGGGTGGGGTCCAATGTCTTGGTTGAGCGGCTCACCGGGTTTTACATTAACTGTGGTCAGATTGAACATCCGATAAGATTAGGCTCGCATGTAGACTATCCTGAAGGCTTGCGTGGAAAAAAATTGGTTTTCAATCCAGAGGGAGAGGCTGATATTTGCCTTATGCAGTGTGTTGCAGCTTATAAATGTTTAGCTAAGGGGATGCACCTAGATAATATTCGCGCTAGATCTGTGAATGCTAGTTGGTGTCTCAGACACATGAATTGGCCAGCAGATGTCAATTCTGCAGTGACGTTTGAGGATATTCACAAGGTAGAGAAAATGAATAAAGTCAGTATATTCATCTATTCACTAGAAAGAGATGAAAATGCTAGACGACGACAACGACACTACATTACACT